CCAGAAGTATAACGTTATCTCGTTCACTTAAAAACGCTCGACTATCTATCACAATTATAAGATAGATGGTTTGCCTATTGAACGTGTCACTCAAGTTAAAGACCTTGGTGTCATATTGATGGATAACCTTAGTTGGCCCGCTAATGTTGGCACTATTGTGACAAAAACATAGAAAATGCTGGGTCTAATAAAGCGCACATGTTGACAATTTACCAGTATTACATGTCTACGCAGTTTGTATATTTCGTTAATTAGAAGTCGTCTTGAATACTGTACTCAAATCTGGTCACCACATCAAAAATACCTGGTTGGTAAGGTTGAGCGGGTCCAACAAAAGTTTGTCAAACATTTATGTTATCTTACCTCTCGTCCATCTGGATCATCACAGTATCATGAATTATACCTTCGTTTCAATTTATTGTTACTTGAGAATCGTAGAAATTTCCTTGACTCCGTCTTTTTGTATAAATGCCATAATATTATTTTTGATTCTCCCTACACTATTTACAACATTCCCTTTTCATGCTCTCTCCAGAAATCTCCGCTCCGTATAACCCTTCAAATTACCTCTTTGTCATAGTAATCTCAGAAAATATTCTTTTGTCCCTCGATATCTTGACTTTTTAAATTGTATTTATATTGCTGGTTCAGTGGACATTTTTACGAGTCTATCTTCTTTTAAGACATCTCTTTTAAATGCCATATGTTGAATTTTGGGTCTTTCTTTTTATTTTATATTATTTTTGTAAATATTTTTGTATTTGTATTTTATGAGTGCCTGTAATTGGTGAAACCTGTTGGTATCCCAAACAAATAAATAAATAAATAAACAAACAAACAAACAAACAAACAAACAAATAAATAAATAAATAAATAAATAAATAAATAAATAAATAAATAAATAAATAAATAAATAAATAAATAAATAAATAAATAAATAAATAAATATTAATTAAAACAAAATATCTGCTGTATGTAACAAGTTGGAACCAATTCCATTCATACACGACCGAAATCGAGTTCCGGAATGCTGGAAATGCTTGATTTTTGATGATTTTTCAGCATAAAAATGGCCACCATTCGGCCATTCTGAATAGGATCGCCACGCATCGCATCATTAACCCTCACATATCACGTGCGAGTAGCATCGATCTTTGCAACGTGAATGTACAGTACCTATAATATGCAGTTATACATATTTGATACGTAGAGAACCATTTTATTTTTACTGGGTAGTTCGTAAAAGGAAAAAAATAAACCAGAAGAAAAAATAAAACAAACACAATTTAAACATATTTTCACATTAAACAAACACGTTAAATATGGCTATGATCAGAAGATGCCTGTCAGACCATATAGGTATGAACAGATGCATTGTTTTCCGTATTTTTCACTTGGCAAAATGGTTGTCGTGCAGTGTGAACTGCAGTAACAATAGCGATAATCCTCGGACGTCTGTTTGCTAGTAGGAGTGTAACACTCGTTTGTGACTCCTTCTGTTTATACCTCCAGGTAAAAAAGAGAAGGAGTTACAGCCACCCTTAGATCAAAGGTACCAGCATGGTCGCCGCTGTTTGTACATAGATCAGGGAGTTTATTTGCCGAACGGACGAAGGAGCACAGTTTCCTCTTAGCGCAGTGAGGAGTACCGTGCATACTACGGACGCCTTCGGCAGCACTCGGTGATTTTCGTGACAACTCTAGTCAAATTCTTATAAACAAATATGCCGACGATCGATAGGCGCACGAGTTTGACTACGATGCTGAAACTGCTATAATCCTTCAATTCAGAAGACGTAAACGAAAACGAAGAGCATATTACAGACGAGGAATTGTTTTGCATATGCTGTAATCGAAACGATTGCTCGAAAACAAAAAAAATGCAGCGCATTTCTTGCACATGGTGAATAAAGAAAATTGACGCACTGCCATAGAAAGTAGGACATACACGGGTTATAAACTTCAAAAAGTGTCATTTCGAACCTCAAAATTCAGTCTCTGGTACAGCGTGGTGCGGTCCATGCCATGCACCATTGCAAAGATCATTAAACGAGCTTTATTCTTGACTAAACTAACAGTACTAGCAAGGTTTCGAAACATTACAATATTGCTGATTCAAAAATACAACGGAAAATGTGCCGAAAAACGAAAAATTACATAAACATTTTCAAAATTCCAACTTTCCCGTTCTCACAAACACGATTCCTTTACGTAATAATAATAATAACAACCTTTATTGATATCGTATCCCCTCTGGGATCTAGATTAGAATACTATAAGGATATAAGGACAATAAAATACATAAGTAATAATAATAATAATAATAATAATAAAAAAAAATAGTAATACTGTGAAAATATTATTATATAAATATTTTTTGGTGTTATATTGAGGCAGCTGGTAAGTTGCTTTTCATGAAGTTCTCTCTTTTAGTGAAACAGTCGCTGATAAACTTAGCAATTGCAAGGACAGTTTCAGAATTTTTGTTATTGAGAAGTGCTTTCATATTACCGGATAAGTTTAAGTTTTCAAACAAAGCATCTCTTTCAAATTTGTACAGGTTACAATTGAAAAGGAAGTGTTCTTCATCTTCAATTTCATTGGAGTCACAGACAGGGCATGTTCTATTTAAGATATCCATGTTGTAATATCGCCCAACTTCAATCTGAAGTATGTGGGCACTTATTCTCAGTTTAGTCATAGATGATCTGTGGATGGGGTTTTTAATAATTTCAAGGTATTTTTTAAGTGCAAAACCAGTTTTCAGCTGCCTGTAGGTACGACGTTTATTTTTGTGATTAGTGCCTTTATTGTCATTATGCATTGTTTCTGTGCAGTGTTTTTCAAACATATTTTTTAGTTTTTTTTTGTAGCTAATGTTTTTTTGCAAACATCACTAATTTCTAAAAGGTTCAGTAATTTTTTGCCTGTGGTCCAATTATTGATGTTTTCTTTGTCCAAATTGGTGCCAAGTTTATAGGCCTCAGAGATCAGAGTGTTTTCATCCATATGTTTTATTTTCAA